GTTTGACGTTCCTAACAGAACCCAACACGGTTGTCTGCCCATCTCTTTCGTGTGGCAGCTAGGCGATCCTCGCGTCGTCGGGCGACTTCCATAGTGGCGTGAATGGTCTCGATCGTTCCAAACGCACCTCAGCCGCAAGATCATACTTCAGGCCACCTACGAATGCTTCTACTAATGCAGTTTCGGGCCAGTCCCGTACTCGGCAAGATAAACGTTCAAATTCCTTCAGATAATCACGTAGATTACCTGTCTGCCGTATACGAGTCAATGCCTCATCATAGTTGTGGTAGTCGGATGTACCAAAGCGTGTGAGTAACTCCCTCTCAAAATCACCCCAGGTGATAACTCGCTGTCGGTTGCTGTAGACGCTTGTGAGCAATTGCCACCATACGTTGGCCTCATCATCTAGATAGTATGCTGCGTACCTTACCCGATCATGGCCTCGGTTTCATTAAGCTCAAAGTATTGAACATCACGATTGAGACGGTTGAGACTGCATGAGTCGCGGTTTGTCGGGCCTTGGTCGATCTCGGTAGTTGGATGCTTGAGACTGCTGATCGAAGTCTTCCTCTCCCTCAAATTCGCCGCGTCGCTGTTCCCTGTCGGGCCGCTCGTGCGCGCGCCTTTCCTCGTGCCTCGACGACGGCGAACGATCATCGTGACCCCACCGCTGCAAGTGGAGCCCGCGAAAGATCTCGTCCAGCCGTTGTTCGAGTCGTGCCATAGCTACGTTGGTGTTGCCCTGGCCATCGTCGAGCGATCCGAGCCTTCCTTCCATGGCCTCGCTCATGCTTCTAACTTGGATGTCGAGATTATCGATCTTGTCCTTCATCTCCTTGTTGGCCATAGCTTTTTTTTCTTGCTTGCGTTCCTTGCTTCGTGGACTCGTCTTGAAGAAGATATTATTTTTTTTTAATCGAAAGAAAAAATAAAAGAGGAAGAAAAGAAAGAGAATGGGTTCGGAAAAGACACACGATCTGATCAACTCTCAATGAAAGCACCAATGATGAAGATCGCGTGTCTCAATTGCCGATAAGCCACAAACCAGTGCCTTGAATCGTCGATAGTTGCCTAGAGGTTCACAGGGTACACCCCTCTAAACGAATAAAATTGCAATAGGATTTTTGGTGGAAAAACTAAAGCAAGAGAATGAACAAAAGTTCTTGATTTCTTATTGATAAAATTGATGATGATAAATAACATGGAGAATGGACCTTTATATAGGCACAAAATAAATCTAGCCCTAATCTACCTAGGGAACTAATAAAGCAATAAAATATTAAGTATCCTACTTAAGCTAGAAATCATAAAGTAAGATGGAAACTAAATAACTTGGCTTGCACTCCACTCAAACTCTCTCTCTTCTCTTCAGTCGCACGCCCACCGCCATACTCGCACGCCGCCTTCCACGGCCCTAGTCCTCGAGGACTAGGGAGCTGCCTCCTATCGCGTGTTTGTCGCCGCCTGCCGTGGCACGCACGCCTGTCCCGCCTTCGCCGCCCTTGCGCGCGTGATCGCTCACCGGTCCGCTTTCCTCGCGGCGTAAGGCTTCTCGTTCCACCTTACCGCATGCCTCGAGGCATAGGGCCTCGTCCCTCGCGCGTGCCTCCCAGCCGCGCGCTTCTCCCGCGCCCGCTGTGCCCATTGCCTGTGCGTGATGCGCGCCTGCGCTAGCATGCGCCCGCTCGCCCGTCTCGCACGCCAGTCGCCCGTAGTCATTCT